TTAATCAGTAGTAGTGTAACATACTTAATCAGTAGTAGTAGTGTAACATACTTGATCAGTAGTAGTTGTAGTATTAACTACCCTAAGTTAAAAATGTTTAAAATATTTATCCTGTTACGACTTGATATTTATTTTGTTAGTGTGTGAAAAAACTTGTACACGAATGAGAAAGAAATGTAGCTACTTTTCAGTTAAAATCTTATAATTATGTTGGCCAAATTCCTTTCTCAGTATTACAAATAACCAAATATTTAACGAAATGTGAAATTAATATTCCCATAATACTAATATAATGTATTTTTTTCTTCATTTTTCCAGAACTAATGACAGGGGGTAGGAAGTTAATCTGACACAAATGATATTTAAACAGATGTTAATGTTTGGAGAAAATGGTGATATTAAACAAATGAGTTGAATACCACATATTTAACAATTTTCATTAGATTTTTTTCTTTTTTTGGAAATATTAATTTGGTGAATTGATTCTTGGGCCTAGGTTTTAGGATTTTCACTTGATACATGAAAGTAGTACAAGTTGGTTGTAAAAATTCCTTCTGATAATATTCAAAATGACCAGAAGAATGCATTGTTATGTGTCATTCTGTGTCAACAATGAAAAAAATTATTCACAATCAAATTTTCCATTAGTATCATGCTTATGGCACAAGTAACAGGTATATTTATAATTAAATAGTATGTAGAAAAATTATACTTAAGTATAGTGATCCTCCTGAAACTACTAGGCTATTAATTTTTTCTAACATGTATTCATCAATTATCACAAGTTATGAGCTAGGACTAGAGTGAATATAGACAGTATGTGAATACAAATGTGATTTAAATTATATTTTATCTTAAATCAAAAAACAGTAGATTGTAAAAATATATGCACTTAAAATTATTGATTACAGTTTATACAAAATCACTGTTAACTCTTTCAGCACGGGCTCGGTCCCTGGGACTGACCTCATAACCATTTTGTACTTGTTATAGTTCTCATGCTATAACTTTTAAATTAGTAAATATATGTTAACAAAATTTGGTGAATTATCAGTAAACATTACAATTCTTTAATATGCAAAATATAATTTTTTTTATTAAGTTTTAGGATTTGTTAAGCAATGTTTGTCTCATACTTTTTTTTTCTTTTCGCACGTTGCCTATCCAACATGCAAAGTAAATTATATTTTAAGATTAAAAATACTTTTATGCATCAGAAAATTTTCAAATTTCACATGCGAAATCTTAATAATATCCAGATAGTTATCAAACATTTCATAAGAAAAAACTGTATTTTATTTTAACTAACAAATCTGTATGGGTTCGGTAGATTTGACTGGTCTTGTAACCATTGTAAAAAATTAGGAAATAAATATAAATTACGCCTCTTTCAATCTAGAATGACAACAAATTATAACATGAAAACATAAATGTCTAGATAATAAATAGCTTACATCTCATAACATTATACATTTTTATCTATTTATTATTTTTATTATATTGACCTTTCACAATACAGAAGTTACAATGACATGGGAAATGTGTTCTCATGTTACCGTATCCAATAATATAAAACTGACCTTTAGGCTTTACA